CTTGTCCCCAGTCCCTCTCCAGCTCTCCTGGAGCCCCTTTAGGCCCTGCAAGGGGTTCTCAGCTCTCCCTTGAGCCTTCTCTTCTCCAGGTGAACATTCCCAGCTCTCCCAGCCTGGCTCCAGAGCGGAGGGAATCCAGCCCTCGGAGCAGCTCCGCGGTCTCCTCTGGACTCTCTCCAGCAGCTCCACGTCCTCCTCAGTGGACAAAGAGCCAGGTCCTGGCTAGACATGGCCAGTCAGGGATGTGCTGACAGGTCCCTCAGCCCTTACCTGCAGCAGAGGCCTCTGCACCCCCAGGACCTTCATGGTGTCCGCGTTGGCCAAGATCTTGAGCGGGTCCGACGCCTTGGTGACGCCTTCGATCTCCTTGTTGATCTCAGCCAGGACCTGGTTGAGGAAGATGTTCTTGATGTACATGGTGAGGAACTCCCTGAGGGGGCACTGCTTGGCTGGGCCAAGCTCCATGGCAAACTCGATCTCCTGGATAAACCTGGAAAAGAGAAGGGGAATGGTGAATGGTGACTAAACCACGGAGGGGCTTTAAACGTGTCAGCGGGGCCTCTGCCACTCCTGCACCTCAAATCCAAGCACCAGCTGGGAGGGAATGACTGTGGGCCGTGCCAACATGAGGAAAAAAAGTCCACAAGGTGAGACAAAGACTCAACTGCTGGAGGAGAACAGATAAAATGAGGGAAAATCCACATCCCGAGCACAATTTGCGATGATTTGTTCAAAAAACGTGACTCAACTGCTGGAGGAGAACAGATAAAACAAGGGAAAATCCACACCCCAGGCACCATTTGTGATTATTTCTTCAAAAACCATGGACTGCTCTGTTTGACACCTACTGGAATGATGTTTTTCTAAAATTAAAACCCCCAAAGAAACAATTTGGGATGCCAGGAATCCCTTGGAAAAGGCAAATTTCCTCCCGGGGTTGGTCACTCCATTCCCACAGGCGGGTTCCTCATCTCTAAACCGAACAACAGAACATTCCAGCTGGAAATCACATGGGGGAAAAAAAAAAGCAATGCATATGGATTATCCTGTTCTCAAGCTGCATTATGCATGTCTGTATTATGGTGTATTTTTATCATCCTCCATTGTTTCATCCAAGGATCCCATTCCCGCTCACACAGACGATCCCGGGAATATTTTAACACCAAATGTTTGCCATCTCCCGCAAAAACCTCTCGATTTCTGCGATGCCATCTGCTTAACACTTCCAGAAATTACCTCTTTAGTTTCTTCAACTGCATCTGAGGCACAGAAATAACCTTCCTTTTTAAGTTTTATGCATTGAAATAATTAGGGATTGAGCGTCGGGAGCCAGGACGGATCGAGACTCGCTGCCCAAAGTTGTGCCAGGGGAGGTTTAGGTTGGATAGCAGGAAAAATTCCTTCAGTGGAAGGTGAAGTGGTGGAGTCACAGTCCCTGAAGGTGCTAAAAACCACATGGATGTGGCACATGGGGACCATTTCCCCAAATATTTCAAGGAGATTTCCTTAATTGTCTGTGATTTTCTCCCTCCCCTTCCCATGCTCCAGAGGAGGCAGCTTCCCCTCAGAGCCCTGACTGAGGAGCTCCTGCCAGTTTTCATGGCATGATTTCCTTCAAATCCGAGCCCTTTGCTCCCTAAATCCTCTGCCCTGGTGACTCCAACAGTCTGGAATGACATTTGATTCCACGGGGGGATCCACCTGCAGCTCAGCTGGAAGATGGTTTCTCCAAAGAGAAGGGAACACAAAGTTCTGGCAGCTTTATTCCCAGGATTTCACAGATCAAGAATGGGAATTGTCATATATAAATGAAGTATAAATATAAATATGTTCCTCAATATAAAACAGGGAAGCAGTGGAGTCACCTGGGAAGAGAGCAGAGCTGAATCCTGGAATCTGGATCCCTGAAATCACAGACCTGATGGTACCATGTGGAATGACAACCACTCATGTCCTTCAGGGAACAATGCCAAGCTTGATGGACACAATAAATTAATTTACCACGACTGCCAATGAATTTGCCACTCTTTCTTCCTGAGTTTATTTACACAGTGCTTGTGACACAGAAAACCCACAGAAAAAATGTGAATTTTACCATTTCAAGCTGGGGAAGGAGAGGCACAAGGGGTTGGATTTGGAAAGGAGAATCATTCAGTGGAGTGAAAGAAAAGCTTTTGAACGCTTTTTAAAATCCAATACACGCTTAAAAATGGCTAAACCACGCAAAAATAAAAAACTTTCAGAGGGAGAATGGGCAGGCATCAACTCTGAGAGCTCAGAAGTGCTGAACTGCAGCAGCTCCTCATCCCACAAGAGCCTGAGGGTGCTTCCAAGGGTTTCCTGGACCTCAGACTAAATTGCCTGTGCAAAGATATAGGAAAGGTCAGTGCTAAAAAAAGGTGTAATTGAGACTTTTTGTTTGTACCTGGCATTAATCCCCATTTCAGATCCCTCCTAAAAACTGTGCCTCAACCTCCAGGAAACTTCTTGAGCTCCCTGCAAGGGGCTCTCAGCTCTCCCTGGAGCCTTCTCTTCTCCAGGGGAACATTCCCAGCTCTCCCAGCCTGTTTTCAGAACCAACAAATCCATCACACCTGAAAAATGCACAAATATCCCTTGCAGAGGAAGATTTTGGATCATGGTTGCTGGAGATATCCCTGGGAATCACCTGGAATCCTCAAAAAGCCTCCAGGAATGGCACCACTCCGAAGGACACAGAGATGTCACATGAGGGAGGAATTCTTCAAAAGAGCAGCCAGGGGGAAAAAAATATAAAAATATGGAAATCTGTATCTTATCTTTAATTTAGAACCCGCATTTTCCAAAAGGAGGCACCATTTTGAACTTGTTTTCTCCTCCTAGAAAAGCATTGGAGGTGATTTGTGGCTGCAATTAAGCATTCCCCTCAGACAATTCCAGGAAAATGAAGTGTCTTTGGGTAAATGACAGTCATTTGGATGAAAAAAAGGGGAAAAAAAAAGAAAAAACAAGCCCATCGTTGCAGAAAATTTAATTCATTCCAACTCACAACTTAATTGGCTGTGAGGACTGTCTTACCTAGGCTGGAAGTGGGGAATAAAAAGCATAAAACCTCAAAAAAAAAAAAAAAAAAAAAAAAAAGAAAAGCTGAATGGATTGATTTAGAAACCTCCAAGTCTTGCTTTCTTCTGTCTCCTCGTTATCAGATGCCTTCTAAAACATCATTAAAAGGCACTGAAGACGTGTCGCTGAAGGTGCAGGACATCAACCACTCCCTCTCCTTAATGATGATGATAATTTTATCTGAAATTCCCTCTTCCAACGAGTGAATGACAGGAAAATAAAATAAAAAAGAATATTCCAAAGCCTTATTAAGGGAACTTTTTTTTCTGATGTTCGGCCCAAATTTACATTTCAGTTTTGTGTGATCCTGAAGGGTTCCCTTCCCTCTGTCTTAGGCATAAAACAACCAAGTGCCCGGGATGGACCTTTTGGTGAGGAAGGAAATATTAAGGGAGCATCAGAAATCCTTTGAAATGGATCCTGGTTACTGCCAGAATGGAAAAATTCCCAACTGGTTGTTGGGACTCAAGGAAATCAGGGATAAAATACCTGAGGCTACAGGTTCTGGAAGGGAGAGAGACACGTGGAAGATCCCACATTGTCCATTTTCCATCTAGAAAGCTTTCCCACCTCAACAGTGGGAATTTGGGGAGAGGTTCAACAGAATCAGAGAATCATGGAATGGTTTGGGTTGGGAGGGAACACAAAGATCATCTGGTTCCAATCTTGACACTTTCCACTAGCCCAGGTTGCTCCAACCCGGCCTTGGACACTTCCAGGGATCCAGGGGCAGCCACAGCTTCTCTGGGAAATCCATTCCAGCCCCTCCCCACCCTCCCAGACACCAATTCCTTCCCAAGATCCCACCTATCCCTGCCCTCTGGCACTGGGAAGCCATTCCCTGTGTCCTGTCCCTCCATCCCTTGTCCCCAGTCCCTCTCCAGCTCTCCTGGAGCCCCTTTAGGCCCTGCAAGGGGCTCTCAGCTCTCCCTGGAGCCTTCTCTTCTCCAGGGGAACATTCCCAGCTCTCCCAGCCTGGCTCCAGAGCACAGGAGCTCCAGCTCTTGGAGCAGCTCCGGGGCCTCCTCTGGATTTGCTCCAAAGGGACAACTCTGATTCCAGATTTCCCACCCTCATGGGAACGTGGGCAAGCAAAGAGGCTTCTCCAACAACGGTGTGCAACCAAACTGAGTATATTTTGTTATATTCAGTTCAAATAATAATCTAACTGGAATAAAACCCTAATTTCCATCCATTCCACAGCCTGGTCCATCCCAGGACTCCTCTCTCCTCTGTCAAAGTGAGACCTAGAGATGCTCCAAAAAGATCCTGACCATTACCCATGTGCTGAATACAATAAAACACAATTAAAGACATTAAAAAAAATCACTTGCTTGTTACTGAAGAACCATCAAATAGGTACTAAAGTAACAAAACCCACCTTATTTTGCATAAAAACTGGACTACAGAGAATTATTTTGGTACCCCAGGATTGATGCTGATAAATGTTGTGGTCAAATGCAAGTCAGTAGAGCTGATGCTCTACAAAGTCAGCCCAAGGGAGGAAGAAAGGTTTGAGATCATCTCTCTAAGTGACCCAAAATGTGATTAAAATTACAATTATCACCAAAAAACCCAGTGTAAACGGGTCTGGGAGACTCAACGGACATTTCACTTTTAAATCTTAGCAAAACCAGACCAAAAAAAATCAGCAAATCTCAGAGAAAAACGGTTTGTTTTCTGCTGTTTTGAAATATTATATAGCCCAGAAAACATGCAGGAAGGCAGCATCTATAGGAAAATGACTGCTGTTAGCAGAAAACCCCAAATTTGGGGCATTTTTCACTCAAATATTAAGGTTTTTAAGGCATCGATTCCTGTGTTGCGGCTGCTCAGCCATGAGACTGAGGGAAGAAATGATGTAAAAATCAGTGTTTTATTGTCTCTGAGGTGCTGCAGACACCACAAACGCTCTGAAAAAAAATTAAATTATAATTTAGCCATCAGCTGGTGCTAAAAACATCCCTCCTTTAATGCTCACCTGTCACCTGAAGGCCACGGGACATAAAGGAAGTGTCTCAGGTGCAGTTTCTTCTGGTGTCTCCAGAGGGGAATATTGGCTCATTTTTGGACCACGAGATGTAAAGCCAGAATTAATGGAATCTGGGGGTTCCTAACATATATAAAAGTGCATCTCACGCCCTGTAGATCAGATTCCTCCCACGTGATTCCCAAATATCAGCAGGAGATCACCCAATGGAAGCTTCTGGCGTGGTTGGATCTCATGGTCTTCCTCCTCTCCTCTCTCGCTCTTCCCAACAGCAAATTTCAGGAATCAGCAGCGTTTCCATCCCCTGCCAAACCTCAGCCCGTAGCCAGGAGTGATTTTTTCCAAAGGTGGCAGGTCTGAACGAGGAGCAGCCTGGAATTTTGGGACCCTCTCGGAGA